TGTGCTGGAGAACACTAATTCCAGAGCCTCCACCGCAGCATTAACATCTTACAGACCCCTTCTACCGCCAGTTACTTTTGTCTTTGTGCTAGACCCAATTCCCAGACTGATCTTTATCAACTACAGATGTGATTATGTCATAGTCTGATTCTCAGAGTTAATGGTCTCCCACAGTCTACAGAACCATGCTCCAGCTCCTTAGCAAGGCCCTGGAAACCTGTACGGCCCAGCCCTGCTCATCTCTGTAGCTTCATTTACCACTATTCCTCCTCTCTCCTTTCTCCACAATCCTCCACTCCCCCAAAGTCCGCATTCCAGCTAAACCCAAACTCATATACCATTCTCTTGACTTTCCTACTCATGACTTCACCTCTGCTTCTCTCTGTATGCGGCAGGCCCTTTCCCTGCTTTTTAGTATTGGAAATCCTACTCATCCTGCTGAAAGGCAGTTTAGCAAACTAATTACGAACACCAATTCCAGAATCAAAAGGTACGGGTTCAGATCCCTGCTCTGTCACTTACTAGTTGTGTGACCTTGGGAAAATTACTTAACTTCTCTGTGCCTTACTTTTCTCATCTGTAAAATACTGATAATAACAGGAGCTATGTAAAGTGCATGAAGAATACGTAGCAAGCTCTGTGTGTGTGTGTGTGTATAAACTCTATCTTTGCCCCTCTGCCGATTGTAAATGCCACCTCTTCTTTGAAAGTTAACTATCCTCCTTTCTAAATGCTCTTCTGACTGCTCCCCTTTGCCAATCAACAGAATTTTCTTCATGACTCACTCTCCTGACACTGACCAGGCCTTGTCTTGCATACACGTCTATCTCCTCTACTACACTTCTAGCTTTTAAAGGGTCTAGGTTTTTTTCATCCTATATCATCTAGTCCTTCACAAAATGAAGATTAAATAAATGTTTCATTAGATCCACATAATAAACAAAGAATACTGAATGAATTACAAGTATTAAATGCTGAACTCATATATACTTACCTGGCTTTCATCCAAGTTTCTCCCAGTGAAATCCACAGCTGCCTTTCATCCATATTGACAGTATAATTTAAGAAATCGATTGTGTCTTTAGTCAATAGGGGACTGAGTACTGAACTGGCTAGGTCAGGGCCTCCTGTTGCCTGCACCACCTAAAATAATAAACCATTTTCCAGTAAGAAGATAACCATTCGTTATGCATTTTCAAAATATGTAGACAAAAACCCATGCCCCAAACAAGTACTGTTTTTTATACTCAAATTAAATTTTGATGTTGCACAATGCACTCCTGAATGAAAAACAGCTTGCCATATTAACCTCTCCTGCCCAACAGAGTCTTAATATCTAAAATGAAAGTTAACAGTTTAACAAACTTCACAGCATTTGCCTATGGACTGCATGTGACTATGCTTTTTCTGGAAAACAGTAATGGATATGGAGAATTCTAAGTCTAGTAATTTTTACCATCTCTGGGTTTTTGTTTTGTTGTTGTTGTTGTTACTTAAAATGTGGATATCTTAACCGGCAAATCTATTGTGCCAAATTTGAAAAATATGGTTCCAGAAATGAATACTATCAAGAGAAACAAGGCTCAAGTTAACAGTCTATGCTGTGCCCATTCAGACATATGAAAATAAAAGGATCCAGAGAGAAAGACAAGAGCAGAATAAAAGCGGCATCCTGAATCTATGAAAATTCCCCTCGTTTAACAGGGATAAATTAATGACTAGCAGAAACAAACACACAGGTGCAACTCTTTGATAAGCAAAATGATGACACATGGATGTCCAAACGCTGCTGCAAACTGACTTCTCAGGAGCTGTTTTCTGGTTTAAACATGGTAGTTATCGCCTAGAACAGAAACCAGCCTCTTCGATAGAAATCTCACTTCCTTAGAGATGTGGCACAAGAAAAAAAGGAGTGTTTTGAATGGCTGCAGTCATTCAGGCCTTCCAAGCACACTCTGCTGTTTTATGCCTCTGTGTACCTACAAACGGTGTGCCCAGGTCCCCAGCTTCTTCCACTCATTCAGAACTCCACTCAGGTACCGCTGTTCTGGGAAGCCTTTCTTAACCTCACCCTGTGTCTCTGATACACACCCCACCACCTTGCATCCAGTGTCCTCGATACAATCTATGCGTATCAGTAACACATTACATTGTTTATGGCTCATTTTTTCAGTTTCCCTACCTTGAGAATCTGGACTCAGACTTACGTGACTTTGAATTGTAGAAGAATGGACTTTCATTTATTCATGGAATGAATGGAAAACACAGGAAGGAAAAGATAGAAGATAAAGGAGACAGGCTGACTCTGATTCAAGAACAAAACCTCTCCCTTTGGCACAGACATTTTTCTCTTCCAAGCACTAGCATTTCTAGGAAAAAGGCAGGGATGACTAAGAGAGAAAAGTAAGAGACTAAAGTAAAAGAGGAGGAGAATATTAAAATCTCTGGTTTGACAGCGGGAAAAAGAGATGAAAGGTGAATAGAAGGCTCTGGGCTGCAGTTTCCTCTCCCCTATGTGAGGAGGCGTGTGCACTGGCACAGGTGCCCTGGGTGTGCACGTGGCCGCAGGTGCATGCTGAGGGCAGAGGGGAGCAAGTCACAAGGTTTAGGACCATTAAAGTTTGCTGGGCCAGTAGTGGGCCCTGAAGAAATGTTCCTCCTTGACCTCCTCATCCAAGTAAAATGTCTGGGAAATTGTAGCAAGAGGTATTATTGGGGAAACTATGAACAAGGAATAATTTTTAACAAAGGCAAATGTGAAAGCGTGTTTAGATACTAGTCTGACCATACAGACTATTCTGCATATGGTAGAGAAATTAGCCATTATTTCATAGCTCTACTCTGAAAAATGGCTAGATACCTACTTATGACCTGTGAAAGACTATTTAAAGCAGGTGTCCTCAAACTACGGCCCCCAGCCCACCTAAGACATTTACCTGGCCCACTGGGTGTTTTTGCCGCCCTGCCTGTCCTACTTAGCAGCCGACTTGTCCCGAGGCCTGCAGTCTGACCCTCCAACAGTTTGAGGGATAGTGAAATGGCCCCCTGTTTGAAAAGTTTGAGGACCCCTGATTTAAAGAATAAGAAGAAGTTTATAACAGTTTTATAAAAAACACTTCCTAATCCTCAGACTAAGATGGTATGAAAGGTGTGAAAGAATAAAAATTTTGTTAACAAGCTAGTATTACTTTCTTTGTATATGTATGGCCTTAGCCTTGATCTAATTTTTTAAAATGCTTTTATAGTAAGAATTATTCAATAATAACCAGAAATCTGATGATCTATATAGAGCAACAACACAGGAAAACATTCATAAATTACTGATGAAGTCTTGGACTTGCATCTCCTAATCTCATATTGCTCAGCTTCTGACATTCATGGTGATAATGTTACTTACTTTTCTGCACTTTAAAGCAATGTTCATTTCAGATTCTACTTCAGGTGTTGTCTAGTTACGTCTGGGGAAAAGGAGGATGACATTTATCCTCCTTCCTGCCTCTTCTCAATCTTCTTTGCTGCTTCTTCCTATTCTCCTAACACTAAAAATAGACCAGTCTGTCTTCCTTTTTTTTTTTTGGACAGGGTCACATCCTGTCACCCAGGCTAGAGTACAGCAGTGTCATCAGAGTTCAGTGCAACCTCAAACTCCTAGCCTCAAGGGATCCTCCTGCCTTAGCCTCCTAAGAAGCTGGAACTATAAGCACCTGCCACCACACTTGGAAATTTTTCTGTTTTTTTGTAGAGAGGGAGTCTCATCATGCTGTTCAGTTTGGTCTCAAACTCCTGGCCTTAAGCAATCCTCCCGCACTGGCCTCCCAAGTTGCTGGGATTACAGACATGAGCCACTGCACATGATCTTTTTTCTTGTCTTTACTTACAATCACTGCCTTACTTGGTGACACTATTCAATTTCATGATTTTAAATGCCTTTTATATTCAGATGATTCTCAAATGTTTATCCCTAATCCTGATTTCTCCATGAACTCCAAATTCTTATATTCAATTATCAATTCAAATTTCCCCATCTCAGTATCATTCAATTCTAAGATGCCTAAAACTAAATTACTCATCTTCCTCCAAGAACCTGTTCTACCTACCATCTTTCCCATTTTAATTATCACTCTGTCCTGCCAGTCTTAGCCACAAACTCTTGGAGATGTCCTTGGTTCTTGCACATAGTATCAAATTATCTACACCCAGGTAAGATTTCTCACTACCACTAATGCTGCCTGGTTCAAGTACCCATATCTCCAGTCTGGGGTATTTTAATAGCCACCCTAGCCCTTTCCTCCCCCAAATTTCCAAACATTAAAGCCAGAGCAATCCTTTTCTGCTGAAAATCTCCAACTGTCAAAGGTCTGACAGCCCCTTATAAAGACCAGCGAGATGTATCCTCCTATCCCCTCACTATAATCTTATCTTCTAATCTTTCCTTCCCTCATTCTGTTCAATTCCCAATATCTACTTACTCCAAGAATATTCTTTGCAAGTTCCCACTTCAGAAGATTTACATTAGCTATTCCCTGTCTGGAATTCTCTTCCTTCAGACATCCGCATGACTCATTCCTGACTTCCTCTACCTCAGTGACATCTTCTAAGAGAGTTTCCCTTAACTGATTCTGTTCAAAGGCTGTGATGCTCCACAGTGCCCACGCACCACAGGCATGCGCTCACCGGTGTTGCTCCCTATTCTCCTTCCCTGCTCTGGTTTTCTACATTGGATTTACTCTTTAGAGAACAGTATTAGTCATACATTCATTTAGGTTACTGGTTGTCCTTCTCTGCTACAATGTAAGTTCCCAAAGGGTAGAATTTTTATCTGTTTTGTTCCTGATAAGCCAAAGACATGGGAGGCTCTCAATTATGATTTGTTGAAAAATAGAAAAATGGATAAACAATTAAATCAGGAACAATTCAGGAGATAGTGGAATACAGCAATCAAAAGAACACGGGTATCTAAGTGACTTCACATAGCAAAGCCATCCATGCAGCCCTCATGACGACCCTGTTTTTTGAGAATGAGAAAAATATCTCCATTTCTCACCCCCCTGTATATTAATTACACCAGAGTATATAGAAACACTATGTATATGCTAGTGGGTATGGAAACAATAGTACTCAATAAATCCTCGTGTCTTTTACTGTCCCTAGCTCTGTCAGAGATGCCAGTTTCCTCATCTATAAAATAAGCTGCTTGAACTAGATGACGAAGGTTCTTTTAAAAATTTCACATTCTTAATGTTAATGTAGATGGCAAAAGAAATAGTACCTATGCAATCGGTAATAAAGAAAAACTGTCTAGATAATCCTGGCAGACATCTGGCATTAAAAACCACACTAAGAATGATTACTTTCTTAAATTAATAAAATCTCACCATATTTAATGGAGTGAATAGAAAGTGAACCAAGTCTGCAGCACTGGGGTTCTGAATGTGAGACTTCAATTTGGCCTGTAACATCAAGAAAACAGAAAAATATTTTACTAAGATGTAACTGAACAAAAGATAGACATCTCAAAAGATGGACTCAGAGTAAGAGTTCTTAACATCTCGTTTCACTTGGTATATTCACCAGCATGGGCAGAGTGAGATCAAGGGAAGTTCATTTTTTAAAAAACTAAGAGGTATTACCTTTCAACCAAGTCTCTTTGATACACACACACATTTTGCATTGTGTGTGCTATTTTCATTAAAAGCAAATCAAAACATAGTTATAAAAAAACTATAATACTTTAATCTTTTTCATTTACATCTTCTAATTCTATATAAATAAATGCCACTCACCAGCAAGTTGAATCCATGTTTAAATTTTTGGAGGCAGTCAATAAATTCATCAGGAGCAGGGGGTTTTGCCCGTAGAGTTAAAACACCCTCTAAGTGAAATAAATGAGAGGAGGGATTGGCAAGATCAAGGTTCCAAGAAAATTGATTAAATGAAAAAACAAAAACCTCATTTATAAGCGTGATGCTTAATAATCTTTTCAGACACACTCCCTAGTTACTCCATCACATCTCATAGTCTGACTGCAACAAACTGAGAAGACTCAAAGTTTGAAAATGAGTGTTATACCCTCAGGAACTACAATGACTCGTTCAGTCCCATAAACATGTATTGTAGCCCTTCTATGAGCCCGTCATTGTGTTTGCCACTGTGAAGACTATAAAAATGAGGGAGCATAAAGCCCTGGTCTGGAGGGCCTTAAAATCTAATGGAAGGCACGAATCAGGTAAGTAATAGAGATGGATCCAGTAGGTGTTCTAAGGAAAAGCCTGCAGCTGGTTGGGAGATAAGGAAATGCATACCTAAAAGATCTTTCACGGAGAAAGTAGCTTTAACGCAGGGTTTTAAAAGTTTATTCAAGAGTAATTCTGTGGGGAAACATCATGGTCGGATAAAACTAACATAAGCGAAACATGGAAAAGGAAACTGCGGGTAGATGAAACAATAAATGTAAAACATGAGAATGGAAGGTTAGATCAAGGTTAGATTGTGGGAATCCTTGATTGCAGGGTGAGGGGCTGGACTTAAATCAGTATGGAATACGGAACTACCATGCTTTATAGCAGAAGGGTGAAGTGCCTGACTCAGAGGTTTAAGAACGTTCTCACAGCAGCAAGAGTAGAGGCTTAGACAGCTGGGTAAAGGAGGAATGACACCTTGAAAGTGGTGGTTTGAAAATGAAAAGGGAACAAAATTGGGTATAGGAGATGTTGAGAGAATAAAACTGTTAGCTATAAGCTAGAGAATAAAATTAAAGAGAATCTGTGACTTTGGAGCTGTGTGACCAAGAAGATAATAGTCCCTTCACAAAGAATACAGAAGAAATAAGATTTCTGAGGCATTAGGAAGCAATAATACTTAATTCCAGATATGTGAGATATTCCCAGCTATACACATCCAGAAGACAAAGCTAAAGGTCATAGGCTTATTACAGAGATCTCTGTAAGAGAAAGATTTGAAGTCATCTGTAGGAAAAGAATGTTTATTTACTAATCTTTCAAATGTTTCAATCTATGCCATTTTGTCAGAGGAAGTAAAACATTACTTTTATAATTTTAATTTTATTTATTTGTGGGCCATTGTCAAGAGCTTCACTATAGCAAACTTCAAATTTGCATGGGACCCAAATAGTCTGTTTGGAATTTTGTGATTAAAAAAAAAAAATTCAAATCCATAGATACTTTTATATATTTTAACACACAAAAGGTCAATATTTATATTTGTCAAAATAATGAGGTCCTACGTTTACAACAAAATAAATCCTAAACTGAGAAGAACAGAGCTATGAGTTTAACAGATACCAGTTTCATAACTTCTGATGAAAACTACAGACAGATGGTCACAACCTGAACCTCGGAGTCGCTGTGATTCAGGTAAAGCATCCTCGGGTCTTTCTTTATCATTGCCAACTCAGAACCAAAAGGGATTCTGCCCGGACTACCCTGACTCTTTGCCTAAGTCTCTATTGCTACTTCCAAACTAAAAAAGGGACTTGGTCCATGGTCAATGGGGTTTTGCAGCACAGTTTGCAGGGACAGAAGTTCTGTTTAGCACGGGAATTCTGAATAGTCTTTAGAAGATTAAGAAAACCCAACCTACCTCCTGGTCCTTTCCTTTTACTTTTCTTAGTTTTCTTCCTTTTAGAAAGCTCCGAAAATGCTTCAGCTGCTTTTTGCAGTTTGGTGATAAAAAATTCAATGTCATCCAAAATATGGTTCAAGATTTGCTGGAATTAGAAATTACGGAACAAAATACAAAACAAAACAAAAATATTTTTGCCTCGGCTATATACACTGTTAGTCAGTAAAGGACAGAGAATTGAAAACAAATGAAAAGAAACAACCCCACATGTAAATTTCGAGTTGATCACTACTTCTAAGAATCAGACCAAATGTATCTGTGCCAAAGAGTCTGACATTTACATTTTTCTTTAGCTTAATTTCACTCTATTTTCGAAGTCATCAAGAAAGCATTCACAATATCTGCCTGGGCTGTTATTTTCAATTACTCTAATTTTCTCATCGTGTTCTCCCACACAAAGTTAGAGGGAAGAAATTCTAAGAAACGCTTTGTTAGAACAGCACTGAGCATTTTTGTTTTACTAACAAATGTCCCAGTGAAGAACTGACAGTGTTATTTCAGGGAATTAAAGGTATAGGGAATGTTGTAATGAACAAACAAATACAGCTAACATACAATAATAGGCATTGATCAGAGTTTTACATGACAAACCAGAATGACGCATTTTGCTTTCAGGGATCACTGAAACAATTTGGACTGTCTCGTGTTCTACAGCCTTAATTCACTCTCTCCACTATGTGTGAAAGCTGACACTCCTCCAGTCAAAAAACAGAAACCAAAACTTCTAAGAGTAACATGTAGTAATACGTAGTAAAAATTAAATGCCAAATTTCAAATTCCTTTAAGTATCTGTTTTTAAATAAGCCTATCATATGTACACAGTGTAAAAAGTAATTATATTAACACCACATTCCATAATTATAACATAGGGCATTGCCATTCTATAAGAAAATTACAATGAGAAATAAAAATACACCTTTATAAAAATTTATCAAGCATTAAAATTTACATATCTAGCCTTAAAAAATGCCACTTAACTTTTACCTTTTAGTTATCCTAAAATACATTCTTGATAAATGCCAAGAAGATATATTATCAGAAGTACTTGAGTTATGAATTAAAAATTATAAGAAAAGAAAAACTGGATCATCCCTCAAATCTGATTAATGCAGCTTAAATTCCTTTGCCAACCAGTTACTATGCTAGTTCTTCTATCACAGCCCAAGTCTACTATCTAAATATTAGCAGAAAGGCAAAAATAGTTAAGAAAAGAAAATAACTCAAAGGGTACCGGGAACAAAGTTTTCACAAAACATCTTTATTAAAGTCAATTCCATTTCCTCGTGAGTACTTTTTTCCTCTGTTAAAAAAGTCAGCATCTAAAGACGACTGCTGTACTTACCACATCCCTGTCAATTCGAGCTGCCATCATCTCGGGAGTTTCTTCCTGCTCATAATACTGCCTTGGCTTCTCATCTAGAGAAAGGAGAATACAAGTCTCTCACCCTTTTGCTTAAACATTACCAATATAGGTAATTAAAATATGAATGTTAGCTAGAAAACAGAGTCATCTGCAAAACAGAACACCTTCCCTGGATACATAAATCAAAATTGTGCCCATCGCCCATGAAATGCATCCTTACCACCACTCACAGAAGCACTTGGGCAGAGTTAAATGGAAGAAAAAGTGTTCAATGTACTTAGCCCTACTATGAAACTAATTTATAGCTTTCATAGGAAAGCTATAACCCAATTTTAGCCCAGGAATATGGGGAGAGGGGAGAGGGAGGGGAGGGGTGGGGGGAGGGTGATCACTGGGATTACGCCTATGGTTCATCCCATAAGGGTACATGTAAATCTCTCTAATTGTAGAATATAAATGTCTTAACACAATAACTAAGAAGAAGACATGAAGGCTGTATTAACTAGTTGGATGAAAGTATTTCAAATTGTATACAGAAACAGTACACAGTACCCCATGATAGTATTAATGTACACTGCTATGATTTAATTAAAAAAAAAAAAGATCTGGGAATTAAGTTCACAAATTTGCTACTACAAATAACTATAGTGGACTCACCTGATCTGACTCCCAGTAACTTTTTTCTTTGCCGGAAGATAAAGGAAATATTGAAAGGAAGACCTTTCTATGACATTAGGACATCAAGGGTAATAAAACAATAGCTTTGGTGGCCATTCCAGAAAAAGAGCTCCAAAATTACTTTGAAGGGTGAATTAGGCACTAGCATCAGTGCACAGCTTCCCAAGGGGAGTACTTCAAAGGTAACCGTCATGATATTCAGCAAGGAGGTATGTAGCACTTTTCTAGGATGAGTGTGCAGACTTAATTGTCAATCCTATAGGCCTTCCCACCTTTATGACATTTATTTATCCTGTAATGTCCCCTGTATTCTCCCTCTTCCTAGTGTCAGCTACCTGTGGAACCACCCTAACTTAACACCCTTTAATTCCTTCACAAGCAAGTAATACAAACCAGCATTTAAGCACCCAATTCTCAGAATTCTAAGGCAACAAAGCTACTGGTTTTACTACATCCCAACACTGTGACTACAATAAAGTTTTGAGAGTTCTGATAGTAAACTGCTTCTTAAAATTCTACTGTAATTAAGCTTAAAACCCACAATTTTGGCTCACTAATATTAAGCCATATGCTTTAAAAGCAGAAATATCTATAGGGATTTACTGATTAAAACTTAAACATCTTAGGCATTCAAGATGTTACAGTTGGCTAGAGCATGAGGTTAATTATGAGGTCATTATCACGAACTCCCTTCTGGCATGAGTCAGTTAACACTCCCACTAAATAGACAGTTGTCACAGATATTTCATAGTAGATTAACTTATAAAATGTCTGAATGGGACAAGAAAAATGTATTACTATGAATGGATATATAACTCATGATGCATCATCATGACTCATGATGTTCAATACAGCAATACAGAGAACTATAAAAATATTTAAAACCCTGACTTCTAGCCTGCTCTGTACTGCCTTTACTCATAACTGGAACATTTGCAAAAAAATAAATAAAAAGAACAAGAAAAAAAAAGAGAGAAGAAATTACTGAGCCTTATAAAATTTAATTAGTGGCTATTAACTACCGTAAGATAATTAGAATTTACACATATGAAGTCTTGCCAGTTAGTTGCTCTCCTGGCTGTAGTGGGCTGCTACAGAAAGCAGTAGGTTGAAGTTGAAATACAGCTGTTTCTAGCACTTTGTAGAGTTTGAGCCACTCCTAGGAACCTGGTGGCACTGCCACAATTCTAGAAAGATCATTTTTGGAAGTCAGGGGTAGACATGTCCCTGGGATTCAAAGAAGGAGCTGCTCAGCTGAGTCAACCAGTGCCTTCAGGGGGACCAGAAAGATGTTTCTTGTGAGTAGGAAGAATTTCCAACCAAAAACTAGCAAGGATTCAACAGAACAACATGTGGGGAAGTGTTGTGTTGTGTTTGGCCTCGTGGTAAATTAGGGGTTCTGAGAACCTTATCGCACTGTAATTTAAACAAATGACATCACAGAGAGTATTTTAAACAAAATCTAATGAGAGCTAAGAAACCCCTGGGGATAAATTCTCTTTTTATTGAAAATTACATTAGGTTTAACGTATGTTTTTAAAAAATTATTCAGAATGTCTGTAAACTTAGATTCAAAGAAGACCATTTTGACTGCTCTCAAAAAAAAAAAAAAAATCTGGAACCACTCCACCAAACAATTAACAACAAAAACCTAAAGTACACAAAAAGCAGCAGCAAACACAATGAACTCCTACTTATTCTTTTTAAATGCAACATTTTAAATACAAAGTAGATGAATAAAAACTTATATAATTCCTGAAAACAGAAAGTGTTATTAAAATAAATAATAATGCCGTTACTTTCTTTTTGGAAATGGACACTTCAAAGATGTCTTTCTTTCTATCACCTCTTTGGTAGCAAGGTTTACAAATGACCCTCTGAAAATACCTTTAAAAATACAAGAAACCTAAATAAAATGAAAAACAATTTAGAAAAAAAATGAACTCACAATGAGGACGGCCACAAATCATGCTCCCTGTTCCGTGCTAGGTGCCCTAACAGGCATCACGCGCTTTCAGGCTCACAGCAACCTGTGTCTGCACCTCCAGTCTAGAGAGACACTGGAGTAGAGAGAGCCCTTTCCAAGACTGTACAGCTGGACAGATCCAGAGCCTCTGACACACCATATCAAAATGGTGTGCAGCATCACTTATTTTGGCAAAGAAGTTATTTTGTTTAACTATACTGCTATATATCCTGTATACATAATACTTTACTAGGTAAAGAATAAGTGATTTAAGAAGTTCCACCAGAGTAGAAGGCAAAAACACTGGAGTTCATCAAATTCAAATTTGCTCATCCTTAAAGAGATAGAGCCAAACATATTTTAAGGCATTTTTTGGGTTATAAAAATTTCACATTCTAAGGGCAGCGCCTAAGGCTCAAAGGTGTAGGGCACCAGCCCCATATGCCGGAGGTAGCAGGTTCAAACCCAGCCCCGGCCAAAAACTGCAAAAAAAAAAAAAAAAAAAAAAAAATTCAGATTCTAGTAAAATACTCTTATATATAAAATACTCTTATATATAAAAAGTTACACTAACTTCTAAGTAATAATTGTTTTTGAAAAGAATGTCAAGGTAGGGCAGTGCCTGTGGCTCAAAGGAGTAGGACACCAGCCCCATATGCCGGAGGTGGTGGATTAAACCCAGGCCAAAAACTGCAAAAAAAAAAAAAAGAATGTTAAGGTACATGATACTAAATACACAGGGCTCATTTGACAATTTCAACCAAATGATGAAAGCCTTTCCCCTCTCCACTGCCGTACCTAACACTGTCCTGAGAGTCTTTCCATCATCACAACAAACCTGTCCAAAAAGGGACGGCAGTCAGGTGCCAATAAATGGAAATGATGTGAAATTCAATCTAAAAACGAGTCCCTTATTTGGTATATATTCTATGACCATCTTTTTCTCAGTCAAATGGAACATCTTCTCTTGACATTAAAGAAAGAAAATAACTCTAATCCTAATACCATATTTACTTATTTGATTGATTACTTATTATTGATTACTTATTATTACTTATTATTGATTGAAATACAGGTACATACGATTAGGCTACATTGTTTGGAAGGTAAAGTCTGAGTTGTAATTGAGTCCTTCACCCAGGAGATGTGCCCAATACACCCTCCCCCCGACCTTGTACCTGACAGGTGGAAGCTAACTGAACCCCTTCCCCAACCCCCTTCTTGAATTCAGTTGTTTTTCCTTACTGTGGGCCTGTAGGTGTTTACCTACTAGTTTCAAATTAGTATTGAGGGCATGGGATATTTGGTTTTCCAATCTTGAGATTCTTTACTAAGGAGAATGTTTTTCAACTCCATCCAGCTAAATACAAAAGACATGTAGTTTCCATCTCTTTTAATGGCTGAATAGGCTCACAAAGTCCTAAAGATGCAGACACTGGCATGGGTGCAGAGAGAAGGGAACACTTATTTACAGTGTTGGTAAGACTGCAAACTAATACAGCCTTTTTGGTAGGAAGTATGGAGAATACTCAAAGAGTTAAAAATAGACCTCCCATTTGATCTCACAATCTCACTACAGGTATCTACCCAGAAGAATAAAAATCATGTTATTACAAGGACATTTACATTTGAATGTAAGCAGCAGCTCAATTCACAATTGCCAGGACGTGGGAACAACCCAAGCGGCCATCCATCCACGAATGAATTGATGCCGTGTTTATGAAATGGCTGGTCTGAACTCTCACAGATAATAGCCTTAACAGCATTCAATACTTTATTTTCCTTTATCTAAGATTTAATTTTTTAAACCTAACCTCAAGCTTCAGCTCAGCAAGCAGCATCAGAACTTGAAAGCAAGAACTATGTGACAACCCAAAGTAAAGTCTTCAGTCAGTGTTAATCCTAGAAATACTCACAGTCCCCTTGGTCAGCTGCCCACGCAGACCAGGCGGCCACTCGGCTTCGAACATCCACCTGGGTAACAGTCCCCGGAGGTGCAGGGGCAGGAGCTCGTGGTGGAGGTGGTATACCAGGGTCCGCCTTGGAGATCATCCTAACAAGTAGGAAAACAAACTGAATTCTTGCCATCTCTATTTTTATAACACATCGATTCTCTAAATTTATGATATTAGTTGTTCAATCTTGAAAAGAACTATGTATAGGAGTAATAAAGAGCTCCTCATCTTTCCATGTAGATACAAATTTATTTATTTATACATGTATATGAAATACAAAACAACTGAAATTCAGCTGACAATGAGGTGACATTTTTTTATGGGTCTCTTGTGATTTAGAGAGGTGTTGGACCAGTGATAGCCCTCATGTCTGGTTTGCAGTCCCCGGGACTACCTTCTGTTAAAACACCACTTACCTGCTGTGACTCTCTGTGACTGCAACAGAGAAGCCAAATCAGAGAAAAGACCAGAAACACAGAGAGAAAAGTAACAAACACGTCAAAGCAAATGTGTCGAGACCACAGGTTATAACTGATAAAATATAATAATGTACTTGCATTGAAAATAATTTTTCTAAACCTTTAGAGTAAAAACATACTTAACAACAAATCGATTCTAGTCCTTAATTTCTTTGAATGTTTTTACCTCAGGGCATCAGGCCGCCTCTTCTGCTTCCCTCCTTTGCTGTCACTGATTGCACTTTCCACATCTTCACTAATTAAGTTTGCCTGCAACGAGACACACGTTACCTGGAAGGTTATGGACTGTCCTGAATCTTGATATGTAGGTTAAAACAGAAAAAGGAAGCATGTTCCTTGTCTGAATCGATAAGCATCTTGATACAAAAAGTCTTTTTTTTAAAGACCGGTTTTAAAACATGACTTTCAAAGTATTTAACTGTCAACTATATGAGAATAGAACGTGAAAACTGAAGAAATTTTGAAAGATTATCTAATCTTGATTCCCTTAGAAAAAAGCCATTCTTGAATAAAGGCAAAGATAAAAAGGAGGTGCCCATGCGGAAAGTGGAAGCGTGTGGTGAACGTGAGACTGGGTGAGCATCCCCACCTGCAAAGAAATGAGGGCGTTAGAAGAAGCTGTGCATGCAGAGTGCAGTCACCGCCCTTTCTCATCCCCAACACCACTGGACACTCACTGATGCCCCGAAACAAATCCCCAAGTCCCAGCAGAGTTGCTGTTAGTTTGAAGCAAATCCACTACACTCAAGCGATGAATCCCAACACTACGTTGTACCATTTTTGATAACAACTTTGTCATTTCTGGTTAAACTTGACTTTCCGCAAATGATTAACTCTTCTAGTACTTTTCCGACAAGAACTTTTGTTTGTTTCCAGGGATTATTGCTCTGTATTACATTGCTGCTAAGATGTATTCACCTTCTACATTCATGCCCGCTTGTTCTCTGTAACTATGTATGTTTTCTCAATCATGTATATTGCACACTCTTAAGAGTAAGCACTGATAATCATAAGATGTTAGAGCTGAAAGAACACTTAAAGGTCATCTAATCTGTTCTCCTTTTATAATTAATGAAACCAAGGAATACTGAATGAAACAGCCTGGCCGAGTTACACAGCTGGTGGAGTGAGAGTGCTGATGCATCCCAGTCCTCTGTGGCTTCCACACGAGCACCCTGGTTTCAATAAGACGTTACAATGATGTCAATGCTCCCTGTTATGTGGAGGTGAAAATAAATAAACAATAAAATAACAAATAAAAAAAAACCCAACCTGAAGTTGCCCAGGAATTTTCAACTTCTCATAGGGAGGCTACTCTTAAGAAAAATTTTACTACAAAGGTGGGCAGAAGCTTTGTGTAAAGTCCCATAATAAAGAAATTTTAAAAATCAAAAGTAACATTGGAAGATGAGACACATAAAAGAAACTGCATGTTTCACCGCATTTCTATTTCTAATCAGTCAAGGGAAAAAAATGTCTTATATGTGCAGTACGGCACCAACGAATATATGGTTGCTTAGTGGTCAGATGAGCCTGTGGTTGACCCACTGAAACAAATCCCTGAATCTTAGCAGAGTCATAGGATTGAGTAAATTCATCTTGCATCCATCATTATTACTATCCCACATCCCTTGTTCTCAAAATTGAAACTCAGAAACTTTACTCTGAATAGTAGCTCTTAGCTCCGAAGGGAACTTTTAGAGAACAGATACAAACATCACATTTGAAATGTTTTTTAACTTAGTCCTCTAAATGTGTTTTTAAAATGTTGGAATTAAATTTTACAATATTTTCCAAGTAAAATATTACCCTTCATATTCATTGATTTAATATATTTAACCTTAGAAAATTCTTAATAAACTTTATGACTTTCAAAAGATTCTAAATAAAAATCTGATGAATATCACATATACAAATTACCTAAATTCCCATTCTTTTAGAATAAGAGTTTTAGAAAGTCATCTATGACATGAATTGAAATCAGAAGAAAATTATAAAATACATGTTTATAGCTGATCTTAATTCATTCTCTCATATTTTAATGTCAAAAACACAGCAAAAATTAAATGACTCTTTATGCTAATCTTCCAGAATTTCTTTATAAAGATAAAAGCTACATGGATATTTCATAATATATAACAACAATGATAAATTATTGCTTTGTCATAGTACCAATTAATAGCAAACAATTTCTCTTTCAGAGAAATCAACTTAGGAAAAAAAGACATTCAAGGCTGGAGATAATTTCTCAGGTCCTATAAAGCATCACAAATTATAATCATTTGAAATTATCCTGTACACTGAATAGAAACTTTCAGGATATAGCCTGTTACTACTGGCTCAATTATTTTCTCCTATCACTTGAGAATTACAAATCTTGAGCATTTATTCAAGTCACATAATTAAATGGTGAACTTTAAATCAATGGTGTGGGAAATGGTTAAGTCCTTTATGGCAATAATCCACACTAAGAGATTAGCGCAGAATAAATTAAGATTGCATGATTACTTGTTAGCCACAAAGCATGATTTCTGAAGAATCAGTTTTTAATTTTAAGTCCAGGCACTTGATGAGAATTTAATATATCATCTATCCTTTAAAACATAATACATCTGATCTTTTAGTGTCATTCTAATTTCTCCTTCATTTACTTGGCATGGAAACCCTATGGAATACACTAAGTTATTTGTTTTTCCTACAAAATGATCAGAAATTAAAAATACAGTACCGAACAGCTAGCCATGTGATTAAAATAGGTAATGCTGTCAGGGCACTGGCTTAAAGGGAGGAAAAAAAAAGTTATCATTCTTTTACCTTAATCTCATCGCACTGGAACAGATGAAGATCTGGCTTGTTCTGGGTTGGCTCTTTGCACACTAGGGCAAGAATTGAATCATAGTTGCATGAATGCATCACAGCTTGGCAGTGCTGGATTGTGTTTAAAGGAAAATTCTCCAGTTCATTCTATAAATAAATATATTATTTTGTCAAACTTTTACTCATTTCCAAACATTCTGACCTAATTTTAAACTTAGTATTTGTGCACATTCTTAAATATATATATATATATATACACACACACACACACGTATAAATTTTACAAACTTGCCTTTGATTCTAAATCAATCAGGCTCACAGCTCTGTCATCCACTTGAAGAATCATATCTTGAGTCCATACTTTGCCCTTGGCATCAAGCAATTTCAGCTTCCGTATTCCATCATCAATAGTTATCATAGCATCTTTCCGATCCAAAATAAAGGTAGTCAAGTGCTTTTGATTGGAAAAAAAGAAAAAAAATTATACACACAACACAGAAAACCTGTTAAGTACACACTTTCTAGAAGGAAGTAGAATTAACCCAATTGAGGACACCTAGCAGAGAAATGAGGGACAAATACAAAATACTCTAAAACTTTGTATCTGATTGAGAGAATAAAATTCAAGCAGGTTTTTCTCAAATAGAGAAAATGGTGTCTTAACTCGTAAGTTATCTAAATCTGTTTCATACAGAGCCACGTTGAACTACATAAACACGGCATAAAAACAAACTCTTCTCAGCTTAAGTAACATGCTCTTAAATTTCCCCCATTTTATTCTATTATGGTTATTTAAATGCTGAACAAGAGCAGGCAATTTATATGGAAGCTTCAAAAGTATGGGCACTGATACTGCAGAGTAGTGATAGCTCAATTACAGGCCGTAACAACTGTCAAACTAGTCAATCCACTGAAATCACTTAATGAAACAAAACTTTAAATTTAATTAAGCATATTTGAGACAGAAGTAGAAAACTGAAAATAAGAAAAATTTAAAACTACTGCTCTGCTTAAATATTTTCTATTATAAGCAGAGGTCACCTAGATAGATTCTAATTAAGAGCAAATATCTTAAAAGATAATAGAGCAAAAACTAAAAAAAGAAACCATTATTTAAGTGAATGCAGTAATGACTTTAGATAAAACTAAAAATAAAACCACTCACTAAAACTTTCAAGGGCTTAATTTCAAGAAGAATCTATAGTTTGTCCTGTTTTAACTGAAGTAAGTCTGGCAATAAAAGTGGTAGTAATTACGATTCTTATTCATTTTTTATGAAAATAAAAAATACAGACTAACAGGATACATTTCATGTAACATCTCAGTTTTATGGAAATCTTTCTTAAAAGTTAGCAAACCTTTACAGGAAATACATTATAGGAATAAAAGAAAACATAATTCTGATTTTACTTCCAATTTTATATCCTACAAGGTTCGATCTAAACATTAAACACCAAAGCATCTTACTTCAACACGGTACTGGGTTATATCTGACACACTACTGACACTGTCCCGGGCATAATTCTTCCTTTGCTCTGAAACAGAAATTTAAAGAGCCATTATTTATCCACTAATAGGCCGAAGTTCATAAATTAGTATCATGTGGCTATTTCTAAAATTAGTCTATCTCACTTACAAATACAGTAGCTAACAAGTCACCATTGTGTGTGTATCTGAAAATACTCATTATTCACAGTAAATCTAATAAACCACCACAGGAAAGCCTAAATGATATGCAAGAACAATCTGACCCACTGTAAATTTTTTAAATTCCAAAGGTTAACAAGATGACAAATGTTCTAAGAGAAAGAGTTACTTCACCTGAAGGTTTTATTAATCAGGAACCTACTACTCGGCAAAAAGATGAAAACTGGCTTGTAAATTTCAGTTGTTAATGCATTGAGATCAAAATATAATTGAACATGTTGTCATAGATGCTATACTATATGAGTTATATTATAGTACTAAAACAATAGTCACTACAAAAAACATCTTTCAAAACATCCAAATTATGGAAAGTGTTAGAGGAGATTCAAGAGATGATCCGATCAGAGCAAAAGCCACCAAACATCACAATTTTCACACGTTTACAGAACACACAAAAGGGCGACTTAGAACTGTAGCTTCCGCAGGGAGAAATGAGAAAGTTAGTTAGAAAGTTCTGCACCAAACTACTTAAAAAGAAAAAAAAAAACTTTTATTTTCTTCTCTGAAATGCTGCAAAACCAAAAAAGTTAATCAAAATATAAAATAAGTGTTGGCAATATTTTGTATTTGTTATTTTCTTTTTTATTTTCAACATGAGAGACTTTCTGAATTTGCATGTTATTCTTGCAAAGGACGGTGCTAATCTTCTCTGTACGGCTCCCATTTTAGTACATGTACTGCTAACGTGAGCTGGCTCTGTTAGCTACTTTGTAATCAAACAACTTCATTATTTGTAAATTTACAGTGGTCTTATTTATTCTAAACAGAACACTATGATGAGGAAGAACTTTGAGGGGGCCCCAGTAGATTTTGGGTTCTAGCTTTGGCTCTGTCAGTACTTAGAAAACTAAATTTGGACTACATACTTAATGCCTTGGGCTACAGCAGCTTTTCTGTAAAATAATAGGGTTAAATCTAAATGTACTAAATTCACTAAAAATCTGGCATACATATACTATATGTAATTTAACTTTCCTAACAACCCATTTTTTTCTTTTTTTCTGAGATACTTACTGTCTGACTCTCTTACCCTGGATAATGTGCCATGGTGTCACAGTTCACAGCAACTTCAAACTCCTGAGTTCAAAAGACCCTCTCACATCAGCCTCCTGAGTAGCTGGGACTATAGATGCCTCCCACCCGGCTAGTTTTTCTTTTCTTTCTTTCTTTTTTTTTTATTTTAGTAGAGTCGGGGGTCTCACTCTTGCTCAGGTTGGTCTTGAACTCCTGAAGTCAAACCACCCACCTGCCTTGGCTTCCCAGTGTGCTAGGATTAGAGGGGGTGAGCTACTGCACCTGGCTACAACCCATTTTTTTCCTAACGATAAACATGTTTCATTCAGTTAATATAGAAACTTTAGATATTTCCACAAAACAGAAGTTGAAAAGTTCTGCTGAACATAAAAGCAAAGCAAGTATGAAAATACAACGTGAATACATGCAGACTCAGAATGTTAATGGAATTTTTTAAAACTTCAATAAATTTTGTTTCAAAACACATGTGAAAGTCAATTTCCATTTATATTTACTTTAAAAATTTAGAGGAAAATCTCCATATTCAATGTCATTCTGATATTCCAATATATTTTATTTTTGCTTTTGCAGCATTAAAAGTTCTTAACAAAAGCAGGCACACTACAAAACGCAGTCTTGGCTACCTTTCTTTTTTTGTTTGGATGATGACCTGAAGAAGTATGATCCATCTGTTCCTATCAAAATAATGTGATCAAAAAGAAAGATCTGGTTTCACCTCAAATTTTCTATTCCAACAGAGAAAAGCATAAATCTTCCTTTGCTTGACTATGTTCTACATATTTCAAAAAGTGAATCACCATGATTTCTCTGATTAGTTGAAGATTAATAAATGTCAGAAATTAAAACATGGAAAATTGTTCTTCAGAGAACCATTATGGGTCTTGCAATGTAGTATGTAATTTAGGGATACATCTGACAAAAGCACTTCTAGAAATAATCACCATTTCAGAATCGCTTGTTCATCGTATTCTAACACAACTGTCCATTGTGGACTTAGGACATGAGGATAGCTCTCCTTCCTTTGATCTGACCTGAGAATAGTAGAAGAAATGGCAATAGTTGCCATGGTATCCAGTTGTAATATGGTACCTCAAGGATGTTCAAATGCTTCACTGAATCTTTCAGCTAAGTGACTGGCAAACACAATTGAAGGTTTAAAATACTGTGTAAACAGAATACTTAGATATTCTCATTACAAAGTAGTAAGAATGTATCCCCCTAGACTTTCCAACCCAGGGCTTCTCAATTCCACAGCAACACAGTTTACAGAAACAGAAAAAAAACTATTCAATAGCATTTTAAAACACTATCATATTAACTGGTCACTTCGATTGCCTAGAAGATACAGTGTTATTGATAACATTCCAAATTCTGAGCCCATTTTAGAAATCCCTACGTAGTTTTCTCACCCATTTTATTTAATAAACAATATGTATGTTATAAGAAATTACCTGTTTAAAATCCTAACGAATATAAATGTCATAAATAGATTTACAAATAAACTAGTATGTGCAGTGATTTGTAAGTCAAAAAAGGTTCACATTAACACTTTAATAGGCAATGTTGAAAGAAATTTCCTAAATTCAATTATAATACATTTCTTTTTTATGAGAATCATAGGTACTCACAAGACCAGATATAAACAGTAATTATGCTCCTAAGCTGAGAATTTCACAAAAGTCTTAAAACGGTGGGAAAAGCATAAGTCTCTCAACCCTACGCAAGGCGAAGCCTCTCACGAAGTTCACCCTTCTCTAACAATGCTTTTCGTCTTTGGCTGCACATTGGAATGATCTTTATAAGACATAGGGCAGCCCCAGTACCCAGGAGACTCTCCTGTTCACTGGGCTAGGGTGCCGCAAGTGCTCCCTGGGCGAGTCCAATGTGCAGCTAAGGTTGAAAAATCACTACTCCAAAATCTGTAAATGTCAGGTCATCGACCGCTGCTATCTCTTAAAACAGAAAAACTTCCTTTCCAAGTCAAGAGTGGTTGGATGATGTGTTAAATAAATAAATAATAAATGAACGAATAAACCTGGACGTAGAGCTTTGGGTTTCTAGTGTTATAAACCGCTCAGTATAAGAGCAAGTCACTGTCTAACCCTCCCCCCTTTCTTTTTCTCAGAATCAATCAAAGCTAGGAAGAAAACTTACTTGCTTAGAGGACCACTGGTTGAATTTCACGACTTTTCCTATTAGCTTTTATCCCATGGTCTGGATTATACAAATCCAAACAGAGAGAATTAGGTAAATTCGGTAACCAATAATGAAAATTCTTTACATATCATTTGAGCACTATTGATATCCTATCACAAAAATCAATATTTGATTTCCAGATCAGAAATAATAAATTTAGTTTTCATTTAACTCTTTAGCTCCAATAGTATAACGATAACAAGTCTGCAGGGCTCAGTATTTATGTATGACTCCCCCCCCACCTGCATTGCATTTACACATAACAACATGTGAGACAGCTAATATTCAGAGATAAAGCTAATACTTAGAAAACTTTTATTTTCTATTTCTCTGAAAACAAAATGTTTTTAGAAAGTAGGGATTTGGCCATTAGAAAGAAAAAAGTAACATAAAAGCAGTTACTGATACTTCTCTAAATAAATCAATGGCTGCAGCTCAGATTACTTTATACTTATAAATAAAACTTCCAACCACAGTAAAGGAGAATTCCTCTCCCACTAGTGTGTAATATGTAATTTCCATAAAAGAAAGGTGCTGCATGGGAATCAGGAAGGGTGCTAAGTGATAATTATAAGCTCTCATCAGGCAACTACTACTGTAACAGGGTTTTTTTAAATGTAATTTATTTAATTATTTATGTATCTATTTAAGACAGAATCTCACTTTGTCACCCTTGGTAGAGTGCTATAGTGTCATAGCTCACAGCAACCTCAAACTCTTGGGCTCAAACGATCCTCTTGTCTCAGCCTCCTACAAAGCTGGACTACAGGCACCCATCACAATGCCTGGCTATATTTTTTTTAGGGGATGACGTCTCACTCTGGCTGAGGCTGGTCTCAAACCTGCAAGCATAGGCAATCCACCCTCCTTGGGCTCCCAGAGTGCTAGGATTACAGGCGTGAGCACTTGGCCTACTATATTAGTTTGACAGATCAGTATCTAAACCAAAATTTTGTTTTAAAAAACAAACTGAATCCCAAAATCACAGATGCTGGCATGGTTGTGGAGAAAAAGGAACACTTCTACATTGCTGGTGGGATTGCAAACTAATATGTTCCTTTTGGAAAGACATCTAGAGAACACTCAGAAAACTAAAAATAGACCTGCCATTTGACCCTATAATTCCTCTATTAGGTATATATCCAGAAGACCAAAAATCACACTACAATAAAGATATTTGTATCAGAATGTTCATTGCAGCCCAATTCATAATTGCTAGGTCATAGAAGAAGCCCAAGAGCCCACTGATCCATGAATGGATCCATAAATTGTGGTATATGTACACTGTGGAATACTATGCAGCCATTAAGAAAGATGGAGACTTTACCTCCTTTATATTTCCATGGATGGAGCTGGAAAATGTTCTTCTTAGCAAAGTATCTCAAGAATGGAAGAAAAAGTATCTAATGTACTCAGGCCTACTATGAAACTAATTTATAGCTTTCATAGGAAAGCTATAACCCAATTTTAGCCTAGGAATATGGGGAGATGGGAGAGAAAGGGGAGGGAAGGGTAGAGAGTGGGTGGAGGGAGGGTGATTGGTGGGATCACGCCTATGGTTCATCCTATAAGGGTACATGTGAATCTCTCTAAATGT